GGCCCAGGCGACTTCCCGGAGCGGCGGAACCGCTGAGGTCACCTCGCCACCCGCCTGGCCCGCGCGCCGCCAGTGGGGGCTCTCGCGATACTTGCCCCCTCGGCCTCAGTGTCCTGGCTATGGTCCCGGCTGTAACCGTGTGCAGAAGGACCCTGTCCCAGGGCCCGTTTCCCGGGCCCGCGCTGGGCTGTCACCTGAGGGGGCGGCCACCTGAGGGCGCGGACGGGACTTGGCCTCGGGCCACCCGGTGGGCGAGGGGTGGATGGGGGGCAGGTGGGAGGTCGTGAGCTGTGAAAGGTGACACTCCTTCCTCGGAGAACTCCTTTGCAACTTGGTTTGACCACTTGGTGTCAAGGAACCCTCTTCCGAACCTCAGGCGGGACCTGGGTCTGGGCGACTTCGCCCAGGAGCGGCATGTGCTGCAGCCAGGGGCTGAACTGGGGTCTGCACGGGGTGAGGGGCGTGGGCGTCAGGCAGGTGGCCGGTTCCTGCGGTGTCAGGGCAGAGCTTAGCTCTCTGAGAGGAGCTGGCAGGGGCCCGGGGGACTCCAGGAGGGGCGGCCCCCTCTCCATGGCCGGCGCTGCGTCGGCTCCAGCTCCCCAGCGAGTTGGTGGCACTGGCCTCTGCAACCGCAGCGTTAGACCTTCCGTTCTCTGTACCTGGGTGAGGAAGGTTAGGGCAGGGGGCAGTTAGGGCTTGGGTCCCAGCCCGCAGGTGTCAGCCTGAATTCCCTTCCCTCTGGCTGTGGGGGCGCCGGGCCACTGGCAAGGCTGTTGCAGGGGTGGGGCGGGAGGTCCTTCAGGAGGGGGGCAGACGGGCTGCATCACACAAGGGTAGGACCCCTGCGGAGTATGTGTGGGTGTTCTCTAAAAAATTCTGGAAACTGCATTACTATGAAAAAATCGCATGGGTTTCAGATCTTTTTGTACCAAAATAGATGCGAGCTTCAACTGCATTTCCCCTGAACTTTCTGAAGTCCAGTCAGACGGGACAGGACTGGTGCGGAGCCCTGCAGCTGAACCCCTCCCACCCCTCAGGTGCCAGCCAGAGAACGCGGTCCTTACCCATCTGGAACTCAAACCCGAAGGGCGCTGGGTGCTCTTTCCTCAGTGTGCTAGCTGCCCAGGGAAGACCTGCCCAGCGGAAGGGGGCAGAGCCTGGCTCCCGCTGCCCGCCTGCTGCGCCGGGGACCCCTTCTTCCTCCCTCCCCACTAATAAGACTTCCCTGAATTCAAGGTCAAGGCACCCCCAGACTAACTGCCCCTCTGGCCCTGCCTGGCAGACCCTGCTACCTTCCAGCCCTGGGACAGCCCTAGTGACCCTTGGCACAGCGGGGCTGCACCGGGCCTTCCTGGCATTAACCGGGCTGGCGTGGCCGGGTCTCAGGGCCTCTGCAGTGAGGGTCGCGGTCCTTCAGCTCTCCTCCCCGGCTCTGCTCAACCTCGCTGCCCTCACGGGGCAGAGGGAGAAAGGTGGCCTCTGAGGTCAAGCAGTCTGAGTTCTAGTCCCACCTACCCCACGCCACCTCAGGAGGGGCTCTCAGGCCGCGTGGTCTCAGGTCGGGGTGACACAGGCAAAGGGGCCATGTAGCAGTGGCGGGTACTGACAGAGGACGCCATCTCCAGAGAGGGTGGCCATCTGGCCCAGTAGCTGCCCGAGGCCCCGCCCCACAGCTGCTGCCTTGACCAAGCAGTCTGGGGCGCAGCCGGCTACAGAGGGCGACAGGGCGCGAGGTCCCTGTGCTCTGCAAGCCGCAGGCAACACCTCCCGCCGATGGAGCGCTATGGTCAGAGCCTCCCTGCGATGGCCTGGCAGGGTCACCAGCTGGTCCTCTCCCTGCCCTTTCACCTCCAGGCAGGCGCAGTGTTTTGTTCTTAAGAGAGACAGAGAGTGAGAAATCACCCCCCAGGGGGATGGCCACGCCGCAGTCCCTGCTCCTCCATTCTCTTCTCGGGATCTTGGGCATGCACGCACACGCGCCCCACGTGAGTTTCAAGCTGCCAGGTCCAGAATTCGAACTGGAGTCAACTCTGTGGGAGTCCGGCACCTCAACCACTACACCACCCGCGGACCCAGGTGTGGTGCTTTTGAAGAGAACAGAGGAGAGGGGCTGGGCCTGCCCACTGGAACACCCTGGTCTGCAGAGGGCCATGGAGGCAGAGGTGGACACAGGACTGGGCGCTGCGTGCAGTGGGTGGGGTCTGTCACAGGTCCTGGGCCAGCACAGCAGGCACCAGCCGGAGCCATGGCCTGGAGGGACAGGCAGGGAGGCTTCGGGGATGGCCAGAGGAGCGGGCTGGAGGTCTTGGAACCTCCGCCTCTTCCTCCTGGCCCTGGTGGCCACTCGCTGGCCACGCTCCCCTTCCCGTGTGCCCTGGCCCTCTGCGTCCTCCTCCATCCAGCTCCACTCTCCATAGCACAGCCATGCCCAGGATGGGGGAAGACACAGGACACCCTTCCCAGGGGTGCAATGTGCCGGGCAGCCTGTCCCAGAGGGGACCCAAGCTTGCCAAGTAAGTGACAGGCAGATGTGATGCTGGGCCCTAGGGCAGCCGTCGGGTCAGGCACGTGCCCTGAGCAGCCCACTCTGGCTGGGCCTCTGTCCTGGCCCTTGGGCAGGGCCCTGCCGGGGGTCCTCTTTCTGAGCTGGGGAGGCCATGCAAGGCCGGGCTGGGTGGGTCTGGATCTGAGCACCCCTACCCAGGGAGCCAGGGCTCCCGTGCAGGGGAGCGTCCACTGAGGGGGACGGCTGCAGGCTGTCCT